GGTCCCCAAAACAGCTCGAGCGTGAGCCTTATCTTCAATGAACATGCAGCTGGCGCCTCGGCGAGAGCGCCAAAGCGCCTTTGAGGTGTCCAACAATAATAATTGATTAATACTTAACACTCAACAACAGCAACAGCAGCAGCAACTACAACAATTACACAGACAACAACAACGACGACGACGACGACGACGACGACGACGACGACGACGACGACGACAACAACAACAACAACAACAACAACAACAACAACAACAACCATTTTAGGACGCTTCGCTCCGATTTGCTCACGTGCCAAACAATACGTATATCCCAAGCCCTCGGTACCCGCCAACGTCGTCTTCGATCGTACCCCCTTGGGGATCTATCTTCCTTACCTGCCACATGTATTTACTGAAGCCCCTAAAGCAAGGGAAGAGAGGACGGGTGGAAGGGGGAGGGAGAAGAATGGAGCACGAGAGAAATTAGCAGGAGTGGCGCAAAGAACAGAAAACAAGTGGTAGAACCACACGGGCAGCTCGGGTGGGCAGACCCATAGCGGGCAGGTCGGGAAGGCGGGCCAGGCGACGAGGTCGAGCAGGCGGGTTGCTGAAGCGTGGGTCCTGCATGAATCGCGAGGAAGTTTCGAGCGATAGCGCGATTCCCAAGTAAATCGTGAGAAAGCCAGCGTGGGCCACGAAGGGCATAAAATCCGAGGCCACAGAGGGCAGCGACGGGGCCGCTAAGGGCAGCACCGAGGCCACGAAGGGCAGCGACGGGGCCACAAAGGGCGACAGCGGGGCCTCGAAGGTCATGCATATGAGGCCACGACGGGCGCGAGCGATCGGGGGCCACGAAGGGCATTCGTATACGGGGCCACAAAGGGCGACAGCGGGGCCACTGAGGGCAGCAAAGGGGCCACGAAGGGCAGCGAGGGGGCCGCGAAGGGCGACAGCGGGGCTGCGAAGGGCATGCGCATGGGGCCACGACGGGCGCGTGCGAGCGGGCCACGAAGGGCATTCGTATACGGGGCCACAAAGGGCGACAGCGGGGCCACTGAGGGCAGCAAAGGGGCCACGAAGGGCAGCGAGGGGGCCACGAAGGGCGACAGCGGGACTACGAAGGGCACGCGTATGGGGCCACGACGGGCGCGTGCGAGCGGGGGCCACGAAGGGCATATAATGCGGGGCCACAAAGGACAGCGACGGGGCCACTGAGGGCAGCATCGGGGCCACGAGGGGCAGCGAGCGAAGGCGACCGCGGAACCACTACGGGCAGCGAGGGGCACCGAAGGCGGGCGAAGGGCAGCGAGCGACGACTGCAGTCATTAACGGGCTGGTCGGGCGGGCAGGCCCCGACGGGCGTGTCGAGCGGGCGGGTCGTTGAAGCGTGAGTCCTGCTTGAACCGCTAGGCAATATGTAGCGGGAGAGCGATGTCGGAGTGCCGAGGACCGGCATCTTAATAAATTGTGAGGAAATGAAAAAGCGAAGCGGTTCGGTGGTAAGTTGCGAGGAAGTCCTAAGCGAGAACGCGATTCTACAATAAATTGTCAGGAAGTATCAGGCGGGAGCCGCGATTTGGTGCTAAATTGCAAGGAAGTCCCAAGCGAGAGCGCGATTCTTCAATTCATTGCGAGGAAGTATCAGGCGGGAGCCGCTGCTGTTGTAAACCAGGGGCCAACGACACAGTTTGACCCTCAAGACTTCCCTGATAAAAACCGGGTGCGAGCCCCGGGAAGGGCACTTACATCGAAAAAAAATGTGCACCGGGCGGGGGGGATCAATCATAATTATTCTTCAGAAATGAAAATGCCCGCCTGAGACTTCCCCACAAATCATTTCAAAGTCGCGCCCCCGCGCGGGACTTCCTCACAGTGTATGCAGGAATCACCCCTCGCGTGGGACTGCCTAGCAATTTATTCAGACGCCGCGCCCTCGACTCTCAGGAATTACGCTCTCGCTTTGGCCTGTCTGACGATTCACTTGGGCATTGGGCTATCGCTCGCGACTGCCCCGCGATCCATGCAGCACTCACCCTTCCGCCTTTGTCTCAAAAATTTTGCTGTCGTCTCTCCCTTCCCGTGTCCCTTCCTTCCGGTTGGGTTGGCGCACGCCCACGGGGCCTTCGAGCCTCCCATGCCTTCCTCCCGCCCGATGTGGTCAGGGGCTCTCGCCCGCAGGTCTGTCCTGCACTTAGGTCACGCCCCATGCGTTTTATTGTTGTGCGCTGCTGCAGGCTGACAGGGAGCCCCGTGCGGTCCCTCCCTCATCTCAAGTCCGTTGGAGGTTGCGGGCTCGCATGTGCTCGCGAAGCCGAGCCTGCTGCCCTCAGGGCTCGGCCTGAACAGTGTTTTCCGTTATCGTGTTGGTGTCGGTGTCATTCGTTCCATCTTCGCTCCGCAGCTGCTGCAAAACGAAACCAAAACGAAAACGCTTCAAGGAACCGCCAAAACAGCGTTTAGGTGGAGCCCTGGCTGCCATGCTAGCCCTCGCCGACGGGGACGTCACTCGGCCACTGGAGGAAAAGCGCTGGCTTCAAGCGTGCACGGCCCATCGGGGGCAGCGGTGCATGGAGTGGTGTTCACGCTCTTAGTTGGCCCTGAAGCCGACAGGGCCGTTTTGTGTCCACGGGTCCGACGCCGTTGTTCTCAATGAGAGTTCCGGCTCCAACCCAAGCGCCTCTTGTTAGCCGCTTATGGTCGCCGTTGCCTTATCGTTTCCACTTTCAAGAGGCACTCCGGTTGGATGGTTGGGACGCGATCCAACAACGTGTGAACTGCTCCTGACTACATCTGTCGAACAGCAGCAAAACCAATCTCTCTGCAAACTAGGGGGGAGGAGGAGCGGTGAGAGGCCAGAAACGGTGAACGCGGGAAACGGTGAGCGGCCGAAGAGACACGTTTCCAGGAACGGCGAAGAAGCGGCTCTGCCGTGTCCGCAGCCAAACAGGTCCACGCCTGTCTGCTGCCCAGGCTCGCTCTCGCTGCGGTAGCGTCACTCGGCCGCGGGAGGAAATGCGCTGGCTGCAGGCGTGCGCGGCCCACCCGGGGCGGCGGTGCATGGAGTCTGCTCGGCTCAACGCCTGGGCCAGGAGCCGCGGGCGGCTTCGGAGCAGCCGCGGATGCGCTCCTGCCCTCTTCGGAGAGCGTCGGACCGGGTCCGACAAAATAGATTCGCCATCATCGACATCGTAGCGATGGCCGTCACCATCTCAACATCGTTCCCATCCGCGACAGCATCAAAATCGTCATCGTCGCCCCGTTTCTTGGTGGTCATCCCGTCTCACCGCCTCCACCTCATCAGATTATCAGATTGCTTTCACTCCTCATCACAACTGTTATCACAGTCACACTCACCAGATCCATCATCACCATCAACCATCGCCGATCCTACTTGATCCACATCAGATTGATGCTAATCAGATGTTTCCCCCTCCTCAGTCGGGCGAGGGCCTTATTCACCACCAACCCCCTCATCACCCCAACACCTCCTGGACATATCGACCCCGACTCCACCACGCCGAACACCCTGCACATCAGAACCAGACCCGCCGCCCTGTTGCCAAGACAGATCGGTCCAGACATCCCCCGAATCAGCCCCCTCCTCACCTTCCATCATGAAATACGGATTCATCAGGACCTCGAATCTCCGAGCATCCGCTTCCTCCCACTCTCCCGCCTTTGCTGGAAGTGGGAGAAAGAAGGGTGTGAAGATGTGGAAGAGTGAAAGGTAGAAAGGGCGGGGAGGATTTCCACCTCCTCGCGCTCCTCCTCCTCCTCCTCCTCCTCCTCCTCCTCCTCCTCCTCCTCCTGCCCCTCTCCTCCTCCTCCTCCTCCTCTCCTCCTCCTCCTCCTCCTCCCCTCCTCCTCCTCCTCCTCCTCCTCCTCCTCCTCCTCCTCCTCCTCCCCTCCTCCTCCTCCTCCTCCTCCTCCTCCTCCTTCTCCTCCTCCTCCTCCTCCTCCTCCTCCTCCTCCTCCTCCCCAGGCACCCGGCGCTCCGATTTTTACCATACGTGGACCCCCAGGAGTCGGGGGCGACAACAGGGGCGAATCGCCGAGGGGAGAGCACTGCGTGCACCACGGGGCGCGGCGATGGCCCGCGTCTTCGGCGAGGCTCCCAATAGAGAGAGAGCTGCGCACCTCACAGTGCCCGCCCCATGGGCTCCTCGCCCCCGCCGCCGCCGCCAGGCAGAGGTCTGGGCCACCTCCCGAGGGCCGGCCTGCCCTCCCGGGGCCGCTCTGCCGACGGTCCCCCGGAGCCCGCCGGGGGCCTCCGCAGGTCGAGACTCTACATGACAGGCTTGGGTCGGGCCTGCCCCCCTGCAGGTGTTGGCGGTGCGCTCGAGGGGGTGGAGGGAGGGGGGAGGGCTTCTTAGAGGGAGGCTGCTTCTTAGGAGGCGCCGGCCTTACATCTACAGAGAAGGCCCGCGCCTTCTAAGAGGCAGGGGTGCTTCGAAGAAGCCCTCCCCCCTCCCCCCACCCCCCTCTGCGCGTGGCTGAAGGTGGGGGAAAGAGAGCTGTGCACATGCACCGATTCTGGCCAGGCCCGTCCTGGGCCCAGGATCGGTGCACACGCCCTCCTGCCCTGGCCGGGAAGGCACATGCACCGATCCTGGGTCAAGGATGGGCCTTGCCAGGATCGATGCGTGTGCACAGTTCTCTTCGCCCGAACAGGAAGATGTTGGACGAAAAATAAAAATTGGTCAAAACAACACCCCAAAGTGCTCGAAAATAGTTGGAAAAATCGTCCCCAGACTATTTTTTGACTATTTTTGAATTGCCCGCCTGTAGAGCGAGAGGCCCGACTTGACAATAGACCGACCGCGTCAGTTTTTGTTCCGGAGTTTCGGGTTTGGGAAGGGCGCCCTCGAGCAGGGCTGAACCGAAAGGCTGTTTTGCGGGACTTCGGTTGTGCTTTATTTTTCGTTTGGGCAGGGAGGTACAGGACAACGGGTAGAGCAAAACGAATAACAACCGAGAACAAAACGACAAACAGCATTTAGGTCCAGCCCTGCCCTCGAGTCCTGCTCCGCGGCGAGGATCTTCTTGATATTCTCCTCGGTGAAGACCTCGTCCTTCCCCGGCACGGGCTCGCGCGCGGACGAGAGCGCCGCACACAGGGACGGCGACAACGACGACAAAGACGATCACGACGACGACCACGACGACGAAGACGACCACGACGACGACGACGACGACGACGACGACGACGACGACGACGACGACACCGCCGCCGACGCCGACGACCACGACGACGACGACGACGACGATGACGACGACGACGACGTCGACGACGGCGACGACGACGACGACGTCGGGGCGCCCACGTCGAGGTATCTAATCTTACCGGGGAGGGGAGGCTCAAACAGGGAGAGGAGGGCCCAGCGTTGGGAATTCGATGTGCTCTGATCTGTCAAGCAACGGGGTTCAGCGTTGAGGAGGGGGGGGGGAGCAAGGAATGAGCGGCAACGATGGAGGGGGACTGGCACAAAAAGGGGGATGCATCGACCTGGACTCGGCGAGACACCGTCGACAGATCCGCGACAGGCCCCCGATAGCGAAACCGCACCTCCCTGGGCGGATTGGGGCTCTCGGGCCCCTGCCGGCGATCAGTGGGCCATTGAGGGTCGATGCATCCCCCCCCCCCCAGGCCTATCCCCCCCCTACCGTTGCGAAGGAAGAAGCGCGGCTTGATCTGTGCAGGGCTCGGGGCAATGAGCGCGCCGCTGCTCCAGCCCGGCGGATGGGGAGGAGGGCGGCAGCAGGAGGAGTAGAGTGAAGAGGGAGGGGGAGGAGGGTGGAGAATGGGCCTCCTCCTCCTCCTCTTCCTCCTCCTCCTTATCTTGCTACTCTTCCCCGCCTCCCTATCCTCTTCATCCTCCTCCTCCTCCTCCTCCTCCTCCGCCTCCTCCTGCGCCTCTTCCTCCTCCTCCTCCTCCTCCTCCTCCTCCTCCTCCTCCTCCTCCGCCTCCTCCTCCTCCTCCTCCTCCTCCTCCTCCTCCCCCATCAACCCCTTATTCCTCCTCGCCATCCTCACCATGACCCTCATCATTACCGTCAGCATCCGTATTATCCTCCTCCTGCGCTCATCTGTTTGTTCCTCCTCCTCGTCAGTCCTCCTCCTCCTCCTCCTCCTCCTCAATTCTCCTCCTCCTTCTCCTCCTCCTCCCCCTCCTTGCCCTCTTCACCCCCTTCTCGTGGCGACTCCTGGTTCTCAAGTCCCACCTGCAACTCCAAGTGGCGCAGCTGAGACAAGATCATCTCCATTGCCTCGTCATGGCCCTCGACCACCGTGTCGACCTTCCGGAGTAAGTCCTCGCAATGTTCTCTCATCCCGAACCCTTCCTCAACTGGCTGATAATCCCTCTGTCGGCCACCCGAGGATGAGAAGACAAGAGGAGGAGCAGCAGCAACAGAAGGGAGGAGCCTGACAAGGAGAAGTAGGAGCAGCATCACGAGAGGGAGGATCGACAGCGGAGGAAGAAGCGGCAGGGAGCAGGAAAGATGGAGGAGGAGAAGGACGACAAGGGGGCAGGGGACGACATGGGAGGCGAGGGAGGGTGGTGGCAGAGAGGGAGGCTTCGAGTTTGCTTCAAGAACAGATGAGAAGACACGCCCGCACAGTGTAAGGAGAGAAATGGGAAGAGGGGTGAGAATCATGAGGAGGATCGGATCGACTCGGCGCCAGGGAACGTCATGCTCCACAGCGCCGTCCGAGGAGGAGGGGGGAGGAGGGGGGAGGATGAGGAGTGATGACGAGCGCGAGGGGGAAAAGGGGGAGGCAGGACAGCGAGGGAAAAGGAGAAGGGGGATGGCATAACCAACATCTTGCCACTGGGACCGTACACGAGCAACGAACGCCAGTCAACCCCACGCGCCCTGCAAGCCTGGGTCCTCGGCCAGGTCGCGCAGACGCCATCGCGAAGGCGTCATGCGCGCGCTGCGCACGACGGCTGGGCACCTTCGCAGACACCCTGCGCGCCAGGGGAGGAAAACCCTTTGAACCCTCTGGTGGCGGCCCTGTGTCCTCCGCGGAGCACCGCATGCCATCCACGACCTTGCTTCCGATGGTTTGAGGTGCTTGAAATTACCATCGCTCGGACGTCCATTCCTCGTGCATGTTCCGGTGTCGTGCTACACTTCTTATGGCCAGATGGTCCAGGATGCTCCTCGATGGTCCCCGCCAAGAGAAATGCACACGTCCGAACGATGCCAAGTCTGAATATCCTCCTGAGGGGGCCAGGATGGGCTTTTCGCCGCACCCAAAACCCGCTGGAACTTGTCCTGCGTCCGAAGCTCCTTCCAGGGCTCGAGCTAGAAAGTGTTTTTCGTGTTCGTTATGTGCTCGCTGTCCCTCGTTATGTCTTCGATCCACCTGTGCCGCACACGCCGCTTAGTAGCTCGAGCCCTGGCTCCTTCGCCGCCGTGCGCAGAACAGCCATATCCCGTTTCCTGTCATGGCACACACCCCACCGCCCCCCAGGCTGCTGGGCGGGGGCCTTCCCTCAACGCCCTGGCCTGACCCCCGTCCTCACGACCACGACCATCCACGACGCGACGGTCCTCCCTGGCGGCCAGGGCGAGAGTCCACGGCCAGCGGTGGTGCTGCCTCGACTTCCAGGACCGTCTCCCACGCGACGCGGGGCTCGCCGAGGATCGGGCTCGCGGAGGCTGCCGAGGAGGAGCGGCAGTGCCTTGCGCTCCACCTGGCTGCCGCCGCTCTGTGGGAGAACCGAGCACCTGGCGTTGCAGCCGTGCGTGAGCTGGCACTGTCAATCCGGCGGGCCATGTGGGAGCGAGCCACATCGGCCGCTGTCGCGCTCGGACACCCATCGCCCTTCGCGTCTCCGCGCGAGGCCGAGCTGAAGATGCACTGGCACGACTTCCCCAACGCCCACCACGACAAGGACTTCCGACGCGTCTCCCTGTTTCCGATCGAGCACTTCGCCGAGACGACGATCCGGGCCCGGCGGGTCAACCACTGGAACCAGCTCGAGCCAGACTCCATGCTCCCAGCCGTCCCGAGCGAGAGGGACATAATCTACGCGCCCACCTTAGCTACTAGACTGGGTCCGAGGGACCAAAAGCATTGTTTTTGCTGGTAGGAGTGAACGTAAGGTTTAAGGTGAGAGAGAGCGGGTTTCCATAGGGAACAACATTGGGGCGGCTGGAGCCGCTCTCCCCCAAGGAGGGATGCATCCCCTTGACGGGAGGCCGACCGACCGAGGGGCGATGCATCCCTCTGGCCGATCCCCCCCCTTGTAACAGAGGGGAAATGCCTCCCTCATGCGCGACCAACCACGGAGGGGAGATGCATCCCTCATGCGCGAAGTGTCGCGCTCGAGGCTTCGTCGCTTCGCTTACCCTCTTGGCCCCCCCCCAGCTTGCTGAATGCAAACCCAGGGCGGGAGGGTGGGAAAAATCAAATCGCAAGGTGAGCGCGGCCACCGCGGCCCGTCGCCCCCCCTTCCTCGCAGCCCCTCGGCGCGGGCAGCGAAGGGGGGGGGCGCCCCCCCCCTCTCTTCGCCCCTGCGCCCCGAGCTGCATGCGCGGGCGACGTTTCCAAGGTGTCCGCGCGCGTACATTATGAAGCACTCACCCATGCCTGCCCGGGCCTAAAGTGCACCCATAATCTACGCGCCCACCTTAGCTACTAGACTGGGTCCGAGGGACCAAAAGCATTGTTTTTGCTGGTTGGAGTGAACGTAAGGTTTAAGGTGAGAGAGAGCGGGTTTCCATAGGGAACAACATTGGGGCGGCTGGAGCCGCTCTCCCCCAAGGAGGGATGCATCCCCTTGACGGGAGGCCGACCGACCGAGGGGCGATGCATCCCTCTGGCCGATCCCCCCAACGCTGCTCACCCCCACGCCCCGCTCGCTCACCCAACGCTGTTCACTTACCGAGCAACACAATGTATAACGGCGCGTCGCAGCCACACGTGGGGGCTACCCGCGGGCGAAGCGCCATGCGCTCTCCAAGCTGCCCGTCCAAATACGACTGTCCACGCCGATTCGCTTTGCTGGAAATCGATGTCGCCTCACAAACGCGTCACTTCCTAGCTGCCTCGAAATCCCGTCCGACCAATTGGTCCCCGAAGGCGTGAATTCCCACCACGTGGTGATCGAACGGCGGCTCGCCAAGAAATTAGTGAAAGCAATCGACCGATCCAGCGCGGCCGGCACCGCGCAGCCCTTGACGTACGAATGCAGAGAGCTGGTATTGTCTATGAAATACAGCACGCGGCGGTTTGCCAGCCGCTTAGCGTGGCGCTGGTAGATGATGGGCGGCATCGCGCCCTCACACAGCGCGATGGGCTGGCCGCCCTGCCTCAAGCGCTCCTCACAGTAGCCCCACATGCCCAGCAGAGCCCCGTCAAAAACGCAGAAGCCAGCTTGCCGATAGCCGTCGGCGCAATCTAACAACACGTACCCCCCTGTCGGCCACGCGTCATTGTCAGCGCGCGCGTCAGAAGCAATGAGAATCAAAGGCTCGCTTCTCGGCGCGATCTCGGCCACGCGGCTCGGCATGTCTTGCAGAATTATATAAAAAGAAATCGAGGGCGCGCACCAGGCAGTTGCTCAGGGTCCAAGGCGGCTGATCTGTGTACTGCCGTTGCCTCAGAGCCCCCATGCCTGCTTTGCCCACGCCGTGCCACGCCGCTCTGGCGATGAAGTTGAGGAGGCCTCTCAACTTGCTGGCGTCTCCGGGCGTGAGCCTGCCCTCGCTGCGCCTCGCCGCAATGAACGTCTTCGCCTTTTCGACGAGAGTGTCGCGCGCCCTGAAAGATATGACATTCGAGTCCAGCGAAGGGCCGAAGGTGTGCACGACGCCCAGAAAATCGCCGGACGGGCTCATCCTCCTCGTCTTCGAGGGAGCCACAGGCGTGCCCAACTCCGCGCAAAGGCACTGTGCGGCCTCCTGACCAGCGCCCCCAGCTGATTCAAAATCAGTAATATTCGCGTCGTCCACATACATGGCAAGCAAAAGCGACAACACGCGGCGCTGCACTGCCTGCAGGAATCCTCCCCATCGCGCGAACTGCATGACTGACGCGGAGAAACCGAAAAGCAACGCCCACGCCACCTGGAACCTCCATTCTCCCGTGACAGGATCGCGGACCGCCACGACGTTCAAGCGCAAGTGATCTGGGTGCACTGGGACTGAGCGATAGGCCGACGGCAAATCTTCGCCCCCCGACACGAGCCTCTCGCGGGCCACGTCGGCACCAGCGTCCGCACACGCTTGCCGGACCACCCTCGCATCGATGACAGGCTGGAATGGCGTACACATTCTTTGCCGCTCACAAAATGCCGTCGCTTCGTTCTGCCTACCCCGACGCCCGTCGTCGATTCTCCTCCTTTTTCCAGAAGGCTGAATATGGCAAAACGCAGGAATCGGCGCCCACTGCCCCGCGCCGAACTCCGCATCAATGTCCGACTTGCTTCGCAGCGGTGCCGCCCAGCCTTTCTTGCACTCTTCCTCGCAGCTATCCCAGAGAAATTGGCCCTCCTCACTCGCGCGCTGGCGATCCAGTTCCGCCAGCAAGACTTTGGACTCTCCAAGCAGCGAGTGCACGGGCATGGGAGCTTCATACTCGGATGGTTCAAAAGCACCCGTATTCTCCATTACGCCAGTGATGCCAAAGCCGGTGACAAAGCGCAACGCCAGCTTTTGGTCTGGCCACCGCGCGAGCACCACCAGCACGGCAATGAGTCCGGCGTGAATATGCCCCGCCACGGCGCGCACAGTCGGACTCTGCCACTTCAAGAGCTCCGCCGTGAGGGGCTTGCACCGGCGACTAAGCTCTTGCAGCGCGTGCATGCTGCGCAACCGAAACTCCCTCAAGTCGCGCAGCTCTGCGGCGGTGGACTCCGCCGCAAATTTCAAGTCATGCGGAGCAGCAACGTCCTCATCGAACGGTAACTTCCCCCGCTTCGCGAAATCAACCGCGGCGCGGAAATGCTCTTCCTCATCCCGGCTGTGGCCCAGGAGAGGCGGCAACGCGTGCTTGGCCGAGAGCGCCCCGGCCTGTCGCCCCGCCGCGGCTTCCAGCATGGCAGACGTGCCCTGGCCTGCCGTGCTGCCAACTGGTCCAGCGATGCTGCGCTCGTCTAGCCACTTTGCGAAATCCACGAACGGCGACTGATTGACTAGATCTTCCAATGACGGAAAAACAAAACTGCTCAGCCATTCCCTGGGGAACATGCTGACGACGCACTGCCGCAATTGGCGCTGCGACCACATCACGGGGAAGTGCCTCGATACCCGCGGCGCCTGCGCAAACGAAGACGCGCCGTCGCTCGGCGCCCCGCGCT